CCAGATCTGGGTTTTCTTAGGCTTGTTAAACTGGTCATTCGCTCGTCGCCGTCACAGCTGTTCCCTTCTTCCTCTCCAGATCTGGGTTTTCAAACCCAAACCCAGATCTGGGTTTTCTTAGGCTTGTTGAACCCGCCATTCGCTCGTTGCCGTCACAGCCGTTCCCTTCTTCCTCTCCAGATCCGGGTTTTCAAACCCAAACCCAGATCTGGGTTTTCTTAGGCTTGTTGAACCGGCCTTTTGGCTCGTCGCCGTCACAGCCATTGCGATCGCCTCCACCATCACCCACGTCGCTGGCATAGCTGTTGCCATCGCCTCCACCATCACCCACGTTGCTATCACAGCCGTTGCCATCGCCTCGGGTGCTTGTCTCTCCACCAAGGTCGACTTCTTATGGCCCAAACTGGAGGAGCAACCAGGCCTGTGAATACACCATTGCAGGGAGGTATCGGAGATTTTGGGTGTTGTGTTGATTGGATTGTAATGGGAGGTATCAGAGTTTTTGGGGTGGGTTTGCATGCGAAAGGAAAGATGGGATCTGACAATGATTTATACGATTTTGGGACATTTTTCTTTCTCTTTGATTTTACAAGAAATGGGTATTGAAGAATGGGATTTTGAGATTTTAGCTCAGGAGAGCTTTGCTTTTATTGTAGATGTGTTTTGAAAAAAACCCAGATCTGGGTCCTTCTGCTACTACTGCTGATCTGGGTTTGAGAGAAGAAAAAGAAGGCCGACAGTAGTAGAAGCAGAAAGTTTGGCTTGCTGTCATCGACGGTGACGATCATCACTTGCTTCGCGGTCGTTTGAGAAAACCTAGAGCCTGGGTTTGCAGAGAAGGAAAGGTAAAGGAGAGAGAAAATGAAAGGGGAAGAAGAAATCTGACGTGGGTGAAAAAAAAAAGATTTATTATTTTTAAATTAAATGAAAATGCCACCTCATAATAAAAGATATCCAACTATATATTTTTTTTCCATGTCATTAGTTAACAAAAAAAAAATGATTTGCTGGCATTTTAACGTGTCACCTGTCATTTAACTGACGGAAGGACCATTTTGGTACCGAAAATGAAAGTTTGAGGATAATTTTGGTACTTTTTAAAGTTGAGGGACAATTTTGGTGTCAAAGTGAAAAGTTAAGGGACCAGAATGGTACTTAAACCTTAAATTAATTATAAATATATGTAAAAATTTATGTTATTATATTTCTAATTTATAATATATTAAGTTTTTTTACATATGTTAAGGGTGAAATAAATATATTTTTAATTAATAAAAAAATACATAT